CTGCTTGAGTCCAGGAGCTCGAGACCAGCCCAGGCAACATACTGAGATCCCATCTCTAAAACAATAAAATAAAATAAAAATAACTATAGAATATGTATTCTTTATAAGTACATGTGAAAAATTAAACAGGATAGATCATATTCTAAACCATAAATAAAATAATCTCGGCCAGGTGCAGTGGCTCACGCTTGTAATCCCCACACTTTGGGAAACTGAAGCAGGAGGATTGCTTCAAACTGGGAGTTCAAGACCAACCTGGGCAACGTAGCAAGACTCTGTCTCTACAAAACTAAAAATAAAAAATTAGCCAGGTGTGGTGGCATGTGCCTGAAGTTCTAGCTACTCATAAGGTTGAGGCAGGGAGACTGTCTGAATACAGGAGTTCGAGGTAGCAGTGAGCTATGATCGTATCACTGCACTCCAGCCTGGGTGACAGAGGGACACGTTGTCTCTTTTTTTTTTTGAGATGGAGTTTCGCTCTTGTCGCCCAGGCTGGAGTGCAGTGGCACAATTTTGGCTCACTACAACCTCCACCTCCTGAATTCAAGCAATTCTCCTGCCTCAGTCTCCAGAGTAGCTAGGATTAAAAGTGCCCGCCACCATGCCTGGCTAATTTTTGTATTTTTAGTAGAAACAGGTCTCGCCATGTTGGCCAGGCTTGTCTCAAACTCCTGACCTCAGGTGATCCACCTGCCTTGGTCTCCCAAACTGCTGGGATTACAGGCATGAGCCACTGCACCCAACCGAGACCTTGTCTCTTAAAAAACTTTTTTAGGCCGGGTATGGTGGCTCACGCCTGTAATCCCTTTGGGAGGCTGAAGCAGGCGGATTATGAGGTCAAGAGATCGAGACTATCCTGGCCAACATGGTGAAACCCCATCTCCACTAAAAATACAAAAATTAGCCAGGCGTGGTGGCAGGCACCTGTAATCCCAGCTACTTGGGAGGCCGAGGCAGGAGAATCGCTTGAACCCGGGAGGCGGAGGTTGCAGTGAGCTGAGATTGCACCACTGTTCTCCAGTCTGGGCAACAGAGCAAGACTTTGCCTCAAAAAAAACAAAAAACAAAAAAAACCAAAAATTTTAACCTAAATGATAATTAAAATGCCAAGTGTCAAAATTTGTGAAGAGCGGATAAAGTTGTACTTAGAAATTTATATCTTTGAATGTTGACATTAGAAGGAAAAAAAGGTTAAAAAACAGTGATCTAAGTTTCCACCTAATAATATGAGCAAACTAAATCCACAATAAGTAGAAAGAGGAAATAACAAAGAACAGAAAACAATGAAATAGAAACAAACATTAAAGAAAATTGCCAAAGCCAACATGACCAAGTTTATCCCAAAACTGCAATGTTGATTTCCTACTGGAAAAAGCAATGTAATCTACCACAGAACAGTTCATAAAGGGAGAAGCTATATGATTATCTCAATAATTACCAGAAAAAAACAAAAAGCATGTGACAAAATTTGTCCCCATTCAGGATAAAAACCCTCAGGAAACCAGAAACCAAAGGGAGCTTTCTCAGTCTGATAAAGGGAACTATAAAAAAATGTAAAGTTAACATTATACTTAATGGTCAAGGACTGGTCCTAAGATCAGGAAAAAACAGCAAGGAGGTGCGTTATCTCACTTTTGCTCAGCCTGGAACTGGATGTCCTCACCAGAGCAATAAGGGGGAAAAAATACATAAATGATACAAAACTACAACAACAAAAATTGTTCCTATTTATAGTTAATACATTGCTAACATAAAAAATTGTAAGGGAGGAAACCCTACTAGAATAAACAAGTTTAGCTAAGTCTCAGAAGACAAAGTTAATATACAAAAATTATTTTTACATACTAGCAGTGTATTTTTACATACTAGCAGCAAACAATTGGAAAACTTTAACCATAATTCCACTAACAACGGCATCAAAAAATAAAAGACTCAGGAAAACATTTAACAAAAAACATGCAAGATCCGGTTGGGCACGGCGGCTCATGCCTGTAAGCCTGGCACTTTGGGAGGTCGAGGCAGGAGGCCAGGAGTTCGAGACCTGCCTGCACTCTGTCTCTACAAAAAATAAAAAATTAGCCAGGTGTGGTGGCACATACCTGTAGTCCCAGCTACTTGGGAGATTAAGGCAGAAGGATCATTTGAGCCCAGGAGTTCAAGCCTGCTGTGAACTATGATTCTGCCACTGCACTCCAGCCTGAGTGACAGAGCAAGACTCTGTCTCAAAACAAAAACAAAAACAAAAAAAGAGAAAAGAAAATGGAAGAAAAAAATGCAAGATCTATACATTGCTGAGAGAAATCATGCATCACCTCAATAAATGGAGAAACATATATTATGTTCATGGATTGAAAGACTTGATACCGTTCGATGTCAATTATCTCCAAATGATCTATAGAGTAAATGCAGTCTGAATCATAAATCCATCAGGATTTTTTGAAGAAACTGAGAAGCTGACTCTAAAATTTATATTGATCTGTCTTTGAGCCTCCCCCTGCTAATAAATACATAAATTTATATGGAAATATAAAAGCCTTAAAATAGTCAAAATCATTTTGAAAAGGAAGAACAAAGCAGGAAGGCTTACAATACTGTCTGATTTAAATATTTATTACTGAGGTACATATGGCAACTGAATACCCATATGGGGCAAAAAAAAAAAAAAAAAGGATCTTGATCCCCTATCTCACATCATATATAAAAATTAATTTGAGATGAATCATAATCCTAAAAGTGAAGGCTTCTAGAACACATGAGAATATTTTTATGACCTGGGGTATTTAAAGATATCTTAGAAAGGACATCTGTTGGTGAGGATATGCAGCAACCATAACTAATATTTTGTTGATGGGGGTGTAGAATGGTACAGTATTTTGGAGAAAGGGTTAGTATTTTTTCTAAACATTCACCTACCCTTTCACTCAGTAATTTCACCCCTAGGTATTTATCCAAGAACAATGAAAACATATATCCACAAAAATTACGTACAAGAATATTGACAGCAGCTTTATTTATAATAGCTAAAATCTGGAAGCAACCAAAATACCCATCTTTGCACAAGATAACGGAAAAACAAATTGTGATATAGGTATTCAGTGGAATACTCAGCAATTCAAAGGAATAAATTACTATCACATACAACACAAATCTCACAGACATAATGCTGAGCAAATGCCAAATACAGAGGAGTACATACCATATAATTCCATTCATATACACGAAGCTCTAGAATTGGCCAAACTAATCTAGTATTTAAAAAAAAATTAGAAAACTAGTTGCCTGAGGTGGACAGGTGACTGGCACAGGACAGGAGGGAACGTTCTGGAGATGTGGGAATGTTCTACGTTGTGATGGGTTGTATGCTTTATGTGAATGTGCACGGATACATTTGAGGCATTTCAATATATGTAAATTTTACCAAAAACCTTTTCAAAAGAACAGTAACTCAAGTAGGGGGTTGGGGAATGGCTGAAAGTATATGAAACAAGAATGGCAGAACCTTCAAGCTAGGTGTTAAAGCTAGGTGATGGGTCCATGGGGGTTCATTACATTATTCTGATGTTGTTTGTACCGGCATAATAAAAGGTAAAAACAAAACTTCCAAGTTTTAGTTGTGAACAAGTTAAAACGTAAACTGTTTTGGAGCTCTCCACCACCACCAAAAACAAAAAAGTTACTGTAATTCCCAGAAGCATTGAACAGAGGTGTAGTCATTAGCATAACCACAGTGAACATTGTAGTTCCTGCCTATACTCTTGTGTCCACGTTAAAGCAAGGAGAATGGTGAGGACGACAGGGTACTTACATACTCTATGAGGAACCAGGGAAACGTATTAGGGACCAGGACTCTTTCTCTTATTTTAATCCAAATTAAAAGAGAGAAGTGCAGGGTTCTGTGGGAAACTTTTTTTAAAGAATTGAGCCAAAATGCAGTGTCATGATAAAAGCTGCAAAAAAGCTATAAACTCCGAAGTTAATATTTTGGCTCACTTGGTTATGAAGAGTATGCATGTAACATTTTGGGAAATTACCATAAAAATGAGTGTCTTTAGATTTCTGGACTGAACTGAACGTGTGTGTATCAGCATGCAGCCCTGCCCCCAGGTACTCTCCCTCCTTTTCTCAAGGAATATGGATTATCGTGGACCCACCTCTGACCTAAATACTGTGAAGGAATCAAAGTATGAAACACAAACCTCATCCCACGGAACCTTACAATTTAACTGCAAAGGCAAGATACGCCTAAAAAAAATAAGCCATTACCACATAGCAGTACTTGGTTAAATGCTAGGAGGGAGTACAGATACGATGTACTTTTTAATGAAAAGAACATTCCGCTGTGGGAGTTTCGGCAGGCTGCCTTGAGGTTGGGGAACTTGAAATGAGACAAAGTATTTAAGCAGGGAGAAAAATGGGACGGGAGGCCGGCAGGCACTTCCAGAGCAGAGGAATCGGGTAAAGCAAACAGAGCGACGACACAACGTGAAAAGAAACCTGAAGTTTGTCTCCAGTGAGCCCCCAACATCCCCCCAACGCCTCTGTCTGGCTCTCCGTTCAGTATCTTCCCGAAACTTCAGGTCAGCGGTTCCTAAAGCGGTCCCCGGACAAGCATACATCACCAACCAGCTGGGAACGTAAACTGTCAATCTGGGGACTCATCCCAGACCCACTGAGTCACTAAGTGGGGGACTGGGGGCGGCAATCTGTGTTGGACCGTGTGCGTCGGGTGACTGTGATGCACGCTCAAGTTTGAAAAGCACTCCTCCAGGGCTACTGCTAAGCACAACCCTCCGCACCGAAGTGATACTGTTCTGAGCGCCTAACAGCCAACTTGCAGGGTGTAGGGAGCTGAGAGCGGGTCCCAGGCCTGTAAGAGTTCAGGCTCTGCCCCGATTTCGCTTTCTCATCCAGGACACCTTCTCCCAGTCACTACCTCCTACGCCTGCTCCTTCTGGACGACTTTACCCTGACAGGGCCCGCTCCCGCCCCTGTCGCCCTACCTCAGTGTCAGAGGGGACGTGGTGCCGGCAGGGAGGGGAACTGCCCAAGGAGACGGGAGTAGATGTGGCGCTGGCCCGGAGCCCGCCCAACAGGAGTAAAACGCTTCGGACCCACATAGACCCGCTCCAGCGCCACCGGCTCCGGCCCGGGCCTGAGCCTGAGTAACCCGCTCCTCCTCCCCACTCGGCCGCCATCTTCGGGCCGAGCGTCGTTACCATGGAGCGCGTGACGCCTCTGCGCCCGCGCCGGCCCCGCCCCTCGCCGCTCGGGGCAGACGGAGGCCCCCGCCGGCGGAAAGGTGCTTTCCGATTGGACAGCGTCACCCGCTGGAAGTTCGCGGCAGAAGATGAGGGCGGCGATCACGTCCATCGCGTCTCGTTGCGCGAGGCCGGCCAATAAATGCCGTTTGGAGGCCCACGTGAGTGGGGCTGTGGGAGGAAGAAGGGCGCGCGGGCGTTGGCCGTGTGTGGGTGTCTGAGGCAGTTTTCCAGTTCTTTCATTTACCAAAGTGATATGCACCTACTAGGTGCCAGGTGTTTAGACGGACATTCAACCCTCTGCAGAATCTTTCAGTGTAGTCCTCTGTAGGAAAAGGTGAGTGGAATACTTTCGTTTACTTATCCTGAGTCACCAACTTTAGACGCTTTACTTGACTAAAGCCATTTCCTGTAAAAATCAATGATACACACTTTACTATTTTACTCAACTCCATCTTTTAGTTTCCATCCAAGAATTGCCACTGCACCTGAGATAAGGGAGATCCTGGGAGCCGTGAGGAACTACACAAAATGGGAAATTGGGACAAATTCCAGTGGCTCATGACACTAAGAAGTAAAACTACGAACTCAGACACTGAGCTGGAAGTCATGCAACGGGAATTGAATAGGTAAACTACTATACTGGGAAATGAAGGGGTAGGAAAGAAGGAAAACTTCAAGTTACAGACTGGGTGGAGATTACGGACTCAGATATGAGGATGGGGTGGTGTCTTAAGTATTACCATTTTACAAGTGAATAGTCACTAAATAATGTATCATCCCACAACTAGTGGAAGGTGGGATTCCAAACCACATTTGTAACTTAGGAAACGTGCCCTTTCCATTACAGTACCACAAATAAACTGCTGTTGTGAATAAAGAGTGGAACCAGTCATCCTAAGCTCCTGGCTGTTACAATAGTGTTAGGCTGAGGAAAGGCTGTTTCTTTTTTTTTGTTTTTGAGACTGACTTTCACTCGTCGCCCAGGCTGGAGTGCAGTGGCGCAATCTCGGCTCACTGCAACCTCTGCTTCCCGGGTTCAAGCGATTCTCCTGCCTCCGCCTCCGGAGTAGCCGGGATTACAGGCGCCCGCCACCACTCCCGACTTTTTGTGTTTTTAGTAGAGACGTAGTTTCACCACGTTGGCCAGGCTGGTCTCAACTTCATGACCTCAGGTGATCCGCCCGCCTCCGCCTCCCAAAGTGTTTGGGATTACAGCCATGAGCCAAAGCTGTTTCAATGGCATAGTGAACAAAATACCAGCCACGCAAGCCCTTTCCTGTAAACCACGGGACTTTGGCAACGGTGACTTAAGTACTTTTGACTTAATTTCGGTATGGGAGCAGAAAAAATTATAAATTTATTATTTACAAATGCTGCATCATCTCGGTAAGGAAGAGCATGTATTTGCTCGAGTCTCATTTGCCATTGCACATATAAGTTACTCGAGTTACCCTAAAGTCTCAACCTTTTGTTTTCCCCGCTTTGCTCAGATGCCTACCACTTACTGTGTAAGCACCTCCATTCCTTTCATCTATTCTACTCAGAATACCATTCACTTCTCCATATGCCTAAACCAGACCTGAAATACCCATCAGTCTTCATGGATATGTCGATTAACATCTTACCGCCTCCTCAAATTCAACTTTTGCTCCTCCCACAAAACCATCCCCTGGTTCCCCAGCTTTGCAAATGCACCATTACCCATCCAGCCCCCATAGCCAGAAACATGTTAGAATGTTAGCCATTTGAGACTGAAAAGCCCACCTGATTTTCCCTTGTTTATACTGGGCTGCCACTGGGATGTAAAATGTTAATCTGAGCTGGACATGGTGGCTCACACCTGTAATCCCAGTACTTTAGGAGAACAAGGCAGGGGGATCACTTGAGGCCAGGAATTAAGAGACCAGCCTGGGACCCCGAAAAAAAAATTTAATTAACTGGACGTGGGTGGCATGCACATGTAGTCCCAGATTCTCTGGAGGTTGTGGGCAGAGGATTGCCTGAGCCCAAAAGTTCAAGGGTGCAGTGAACTATGATCACACCACTGCAGGCTGGGCAACAGAAACCCTGTCTCAAATGAGTAAATTTTAAAATTTCCTGTGAATCAAGTTCTTCAGTGACATTGTTACTACACACAAGAACAATCTTAAGATCCTCAGTACAAGAGACGTCTTATGTGGCATTTCTGAGTTTTCTGGACTTTCCAGTCAGCTACTTGTATTCCTAAAATCTTCCTGCCATTTCCTCTGAGATGCCTCCGTATTTCTTCTACACTTTACAGTTTTATGTTATGTCAGGATACCCACATGCCTCTATCCCTAAATACCCCAAGAGTACTGATCACATCTATTTAACTGGCACAATGAACACAATAGGTACTTTTAGCTTATATTGGCCTTTTGGAGTGGGTGTCCAAGATCAGCACTTCCTCCCGCTGACTGCGTAATTCCCAAGTTCAATTTCATCAGCATTCTAATATACAACTTCCAACTTTTGACCATGAAAAAGTATGGCTTACTTCTGGTGAATACAGCATCAATGCACTTTGTTTGCCTTAAAACCACAATCCTAATAAATGAGCCTGGCAGAGCATTAATAATAAAAGCCCCTGTCCATGAAACATGGGACTCCAACAATGGCAACTTTGGCCTACGTTCCACCATTGGACTGACCGAACCTTTCTTACGACTGCCGATGTGACAGAGGGACCTCTGGGAGAGGACTTCTTGTTTTCTCTTGCGTCAGTATATCTCATTACCCTCTTAGTAGGTTAGCAGATTTGTAACAGGATGGTTACTAGAGGAAGGGGAAGCGGAAAAGCTGGGACAGTATTCCTACTTTTTTCCCTTACTACATTTTCCTTCTCAGTCCTGCCTCCAGGAGATGAAAGACCAAATAACACAACAGCCAATGTGCTCTTCCCACGCGGTCCTTTCTTTCACCCTCTTTCCCTAATACATTTCCAGCATGTTAATTCTTTTGCGGCATAGACAAGAGAACCCATACATGTTTCAAAACTGCAAAAGGGATTAGGGGGCAAACTCCCAGTTTCTTGTTGACATTTTCAGTGCAATTTAAAGATCTGTTAATTTCTACCTGTGCTTTAGACATCAATAACCCTCGTTGGGGGGGGGGGTGCGGGGGAAGGACTGTTACTGCATCAATTAGAAATCTACAACCTGGGCAACATAGTGAGGCCCATCTCCACAAATAACTAAAGTTAACTGGGTGTGGATGCACATGCCTGTGGCCCCAGCTATTCAGGAGGCTGCGGCAGGTTTGCCCGAGCCCAGGAGGTGGAGGTTGCAGTAAGCTGTAATCATGCCACTGCAGTCCAGCCCAACCAAAACAAGATCTCAAAAAAAAACAAAAAAAAAACAACCATACTGCAAAACTGATGCCTTAGCTGTTTTATTTTAGCATATTCCCAAGAAATCTAAAATATTTGGGAGAGCTGCTTACTTCCTTAAAGTGCAATCTTGCACTATACCAGATTAAAACATGAAGCCAAAGAAAGCCGCCACCTTTCCGTGCACTATTCCCAACCTCCATATACCTACCATAGGACTGCTTTTTACGAGTGGAGTAATATGGCTCAATTCTGTTTTAATATACTGGAATGCTTTGTCTAGTCACAATTCCCAAGAGCTTCTCATCCCAGTCTATCCAAATGAACTGCCAAAGCCCATCAATATAATCTCCATATTTTAAGTTTCCCAATCTGTACTGAACAAATGCATAGTATTACAAAGCATTTGGCAGGGTGTGGTGGCTCACACCTCTAATCCCAGCACTTCAGGAGGCCAAGGAGGGAGGACCCCTTGAGCCCAGGAGTTTGAAGCCAGCATGGGCAAGAGTCAGACCCCCCTCTACAAAAAATTAAAAAATGAGCCAGACATGGTGGCATGAACCTGCGGTCCCAGCTACTTCAAAGGCCAAGGGAGGATTGCTTGAGCCTCTGAATGAGGCTGCAGTGAGCACCGCTACACTCCAGCATGGGCAACAGAGCAAGACTCTGTCAAAGATACTCGAATTAAAACCCGCTCCCTTCTAAATCTCTGAACTCGCCCTGTAATTTTCATCACGTCTCTGATCTCCTTGTACTCCAAAAATGCCGGGAAACCTCCATCATTTTAAGCATGTAGCAAATCAATTTAAGGTAGTAAGTTCTTTAATCCACTTAACAAAAATACAAGAGCACAAATCCACGTTTATTTATTGATTTTTCGTTAGTTTAAATCCTTGAGGGGTACAGCATCTGTGGGGAAAAAAGAACACAAAACATTAGGTGAATGTTACATATAAGTCTACAAATCAAGAAGCGTAATATGGATACATCTCTGAAAGGCAACCAATTATATGTTCTAGTAGAAAGGAAAGTTTTTATAGCCTTCAGTCTCTATGTGAACATACCTTAAGAACCAGCACTCTTAAAAAACATGTACTGGTTGGGTGCTGTTGCTCAAGCCTGTAATCCCATCACTCTGGGAGGCCCAGGCGGGCGGATCCCAAGGTCAAGAGATGGAGACCATCCTGGCCAACATGGTGAAACCCTGTCTCTACTAAAAAATACAAAAATTAGCTGGGCGTGGTGGTGCGTGCCTGTAGTCCCAGCTAGTCGGGAGGCTGAGGCAGGAGAATCGCTTCAACCTGGGAGCTTGCAGTGAAGCAAGATCCTGCCACTGTACTCCAGCCTGGCGAGAGTGAGACTCCCAGTCTCAGAAAAAAAAAAAAGAAAAACATGTACTGAAGATACATTTAATTTTGCTTCTTCTAAAGACAGAGGAAAAGCCTCCTCTGTTGATAAACCCCAATGAACCACTTAGCAGGGTTCAACAGTACCCCCTGGCCCCAAGAATACATGGTATGCATATATTATTGGTCCCAAGAATATACAGTCTACATTCCAAAATGGACCCTGAAGAAAAAGTAGGAACTATTTGAGAAAAATTACAAGAGAAAATTGAGAAACATTTAAACTCCAAGGCTGGCACCAAAGACCTGAGACCTAGGAACATGAGGGTCTGTTTTCTTCATGTACACAACAAAGCTACTAACACCTGTTCTAACAAGACTGACGTGATGGAAATGGCAAAATACTAACAATTATGCCAGGAGTAACTGCTGAATTGTCGCTTTCTAGCAATTACTTCAGTGCCCAATAAATATCTTCACCAGAAAACTATTTATTCAAGGCTGGCTGTGGTGGCTCAAGCATGTAATTCCAGCACTCTGGGAGGCCAAAATGGGCAGATCTCTTGGGCTCAGGAGTTCAAGACCAGCCCGGGCAACATGGACAAACCCTATCATTGCAAAAAATACAAAAAATTATCTGGGCATGGTGGCATACGCCTGTAATTCCAGCTACTCAGGAGGCTGAGGCATGAGAATCACTTGAACTTTGGAGGCAAAGGTCAGGAGCAAGCTGAGATCATGCCACTGCACTCCAACCTGCGTGACAAAGTGAGACCTTGTCTCAAAAACAACAGAACAAAACAAAAACCCCAAAAACTAGCTGGGTGTGGTGGCACATGCCTATGGTCCCAGCTACTTGGGGGGCTGTGGGAGGATTGCTTGAGCCCAGGAGGTCGAGGCTGCAGTGAGCTGTGATTATGCCACTGCACCC